TCCCGGGCAGAGCCAAGGAACAGCACGGCATCCACTTGCCTCAGCAGCTCCAAAGGCCTTTGGATCACCAGGGAATTCTTGCAAAATGCCTGGAAACAGGAGAAATAAAATGCCTGGAAGCACAAGAAATCACGAGGTTTGGATGGCAGAGCCCTTCACTCTCTTTACCACAGGAACCAGACACAGGCAGATTAAAGTCACACTGTCAATCCACTGCAAATCTGGGCTGGAAGGAACCAGAGTTTCTATCACCCTGCACTCCTCAAGTGCAGAATCATTCCAGTTCCAGTTCCAGCAGCTCCCCCTTCCACAGGCAGAAGCCCTGGGATGTCTGAGAACCCCTCCCTGTTTCAACTCCCACTGCAACACCCCAGCAAAAGGATGGGAAAGGAAAGATTCCCCTCAGTCCTCACTGTGGAGTCACACAATGCACAGACAGCTTTGTGATCCAGAAAGCATCATAAAACCCTCCTGAAGCAGCAGGAGCTCTGCAGGCACCAGGAAACAATTTTCTTTTGCACTTGTGTTCTCCTTGGGAGCTGGAAGAGAAAATGGGGTTTCCTGGGATGCACTGAACACAGGAGAGAGGCACTGACCTCTGGGTTTGGATGATGAATGAGGCTACAAAGCAACGAGTCTACAAAGACCAAGGGAGAAGGAGCTGCAAGGCAGCAACAAATTACAACTTGTTGGATGGGGAGGCCTTGGCACAGGTTGCCCAAGAAGCTGTGGCATCCCTGGAAGTGCCCAAGGCCAGGTTGGACAGGGCTTGGAGCAACCTGGGCTAGTGGAAAGTGTCCCTGGAACGAGATGGGCTTTAAGGTCCCCTCCAAGCCCACCCATTCCAGGATTCCACGATCTCCTCTCAGGGATCACCACACAAACACCGACATCTGGGCTTAAGAAATGGCTACAAACAACACCAGGGCAATTGTGCCTGTTTTCTCCCTGGGGAGATGAGGGGGAGTTCACCGAGCACAACAAGCAGATGTCGCCTCGTTCCCTCCCAGACGAGGATTGCGTTGCACAACAGCCGGAGCAAAAATCGATTTTCAAACCCTCTGGCACGAGGAGCTCGACTGGGGCAGCTCCGGGAGGGACACCCTGGGCAAGGGTGAGAGGAGCAGAAAGTGAAACCAACCTCGTTGTTCCCGCTGTCAAAGCAGGGACGTGAGAACGAGCACAAAACACAAACCTGCCTCGGTGTTTACATCTCAAACCTGCCTCGGTGTTTACATCCAGTTTCTTTCAACACGCTGAGAGCTCCTTCCAGAAGCCACGAGGGTTTCTGGAGAATAAAATATCTGCTGCTGAGTGGTTTTTCCTTGGCAGGGCTCAGTGCATGACAAAGCAGGAATGGGAATGTCCCCTCTCCCAGCAGCACCTGCAGCAGAGCCCCGGGAAGGACGAGACCACCAGGACCACAAGCAATTCAGCTGCCCTGGCCCCTTCCCTGCTGCTATTCCCAGGCTCTTCCAGGCATTTCAACACCCGAGGGCTGGATCTCAGGGAGAGGAAAGCAAACCCTGCCCCTGAGCTGCCATGGAAAGCACTGGCACCAGAGGGATCCACAGCAGCAGGGTTAGTTAGCAGGTAACACCTCCCAGCAGCAGCTGGATTGAACAATTTGGGGAAATTCCCTGCTCCCAGCACTGCTCTCTCCTCAGGAACACCACACTCAGCACCTCGGAGGAGCTGTTCCTCCCTGCTAGGAAACAATCTCTTTCTATTTTTTTTTCCCTCCTGAAAATTAATTTGAGCTGTTCCAGGAGGAGCAGAGCAACAGAAACGTTCCCTCTCTCCAGGAAGGGCACTCAAGTCATTGACTCCCAGGAAATATCAGAGGGGGGGTCCTTCAGAAGCCTCCTTGCAGATGACAGTGCTGGCCTGGAGATAACAGGATTGCTCTGGGAACAGTGCCCTCTGAGCTTCTTTTAGGAGCTAAAGCGAATCCCAGCTTGGCCCAGGGGGGTTGCTTGTGCTCCGGTTAAGCAGCACCA